ATTTTCATTATAAATCACATGGTATTGTTTACTACAAGCACTGTGGTCATTTTATCGGACTTTCAGTTAATGTTTGGAGAGAGTAAGGATGATTTACTCTGCTCATTTTTCATTAAAGTTTTAATAACGACATGTCTGGTAGAGTATAAAAGGTCACAATATCGTGGCAGAAACACTTCATTAAAAACCCACACGGAAGAGAGGAACTTTATGACGACGTTTCAGTCCGTCGTGGATCATTGTCAAATCACAAATGGGGCGAGAAAAGTAAGGAGGACTTCTCTAATGGCTTTCTTGTGCACTGTATGTTGCTTCTTGTCAATTTTAGCGATGCGTTGGCGGGGATTGAACTCGCGGTGAGTTGTAAAACTCCAGAAGGACGCGTTTAGAGAATTTATTATTGTTTTATTTATAAAGATGTAGAATAGTTTAGTTACTCAGTTTTTTCAGCATGTATCGTTCTAATATTTAATTTAAAATATCAGCATCTTGCTACTGCCGTGACCAGTTCGCTGCCATAGTACAGATACCGCAAAACAAAAACTATTAGAAGTTAATTTTTCACAATCAGAAACTTTTATCCATAATTTCATCTGTATCATGAGCCAAAAGTTTCATTAAATTTAGACGAAAGGAGAAATATCCCCTCCAGGTATGCCGGAGATGCTTTTTTTTTTCTTTCTTTTGGCCAGGCAAGAACTGTGCCCCCAGTTAAGAACTCCAAGCAACAAACCTTTCAAGCCTTGCACTTGATTGCAAGTGACCCTGAAGTGGTGTGATGAGGTGTTTGATGTCACGTGGTGTGGTCTGGTGACGGCGCTTCCAGCTCTCATTAGGAACTTACAGGGTTCAAACCTTACCTGGAGTCTACCTGGAGGGCATTCCGGGGATCAACGCCCCCCGCGGCCCTGTCCACGACTAGGCCTCCCGGTGGATCAGGTCCTGATCAACGAGGCTGTTACTGCTGGCAGCACGCAATCCAACGTACGAACCACAGCCCGGCTGATGCGGCATCGTCTTTAGGTATCTGTCCAGCTCCCTCTTGAAGACAACCAGGGGTCTTCCCGTAATGCCCCTTATTGCTGGTGGGAGGCTGTTGAACAGTCTTGGGCCCCGGACACTCACTGCGTTTTCTCGTAGTGTACCAGTGACGCCCCTACTTTTCACTGGGGGTAAGTTGCATCGCCTGCCAAGTTTTTGCTTTCGTATGGAGTGATTGCTGTGTGCATATTAGGGACCAGTCCCTCCAGAATCTTCCAGGTGTAGATTATACATCTCTCTCGCCTGCGCTCTAGTGCAGTAAAGGTTCTCTGTACATTTTCTAGTTCTGCAATTTCACCTGCCTTGAATGGGGATGTTAATGTACAGCAGTATTCCAGCCTGAGAGAATAAGTGATTTAAAAAGGATCATCACTGGCTTAGGATCTCTTTTGAATGTTCTCATTATCCATCCTATCAGTTTCCTCGCAGATGTGATAGTGGCATTGTTGTGGTCCTTGAAGGTGAGGTCTTCGGACATTACCACACCCAGGTCCTTCACATTACTTTTCCGCTCTATTGTGTATTGGAGTTTGTAGTATACTCAGTAGTAATTATTTCCTCCAGTTTTCCAAAACGAGTAGTTGGAATTTGTCTTCATTGAACATCATATTTATATATATGCGCAATAAGATCACAGTAAACAGGTGATTTCAGAATATGCAACACAACCACTGTGAAAAATAGTGAAATTCCAAGCGTTTTCGTGACTTCTCACATTATCAAAGAACTATATAGTTCCTTGATAATGTGAGAAGTTACGAAAGCGCTTGGAATTTCACTGTTCTTTCACAGTGGTTGTTTTGCATGCATAATATATATATGAAATGGTATAAAATACCGACAGGTTGTTAGGTAAGACACACATGCTCTTCTCCAGACTGAGGGACTGACCACCTCAAAACCTTAAGGGTGATGGACTGATTACATCGTCTTCAAGTCTCTTCTGCTTCTATCAACTTTTCTGTACTCGACTGAAGAAGCCTACTGTGTAGGCGAAACGTTTCGAAATAAAGATACCTAACTGTTGCATATGTGTCTTACCTAACAACATATATATATATATATATATATATATATATATATTTCTTATATTAATTTTTTTATATAAATATATATGGTTGTCTCCCTCCCTCCCTCAGTTGCTTGCTTGCTTCCTTGCTCCCTCTCTTGCTTGCTTGCTCCCTCCCTCCTTTGTCCTCTCCCTCTCTCGCTCTTATTGGTAATAGTATGTATATTATATTCTGCTTTACAGTGTTCGCTATTGTGTTGTATAGCCATCAGTGACTCACGCACGCCAACCACGCACGCCAATCATGCAAACTTACATGCACATCCAGAAAACCACAGGCACGCACGCACGCCCACATGTAAGCACGCCTGCACACCCCCAGGTGAGCAATAATTTATTTATAATAATTCAATAATATATATATATATAATATATTATATATATATATATATATATATATATATATATATATATATATATATATATATACTCCATCAAATTTACTTGGCAGACTTTAATTTGAACTTGATTTAAAATGTGGCCGAGATTAATCTACTTTTAATGATAAGGTAATTAAGTGATTTCCAAGTAATTCAGATTTTGATCCGATTATCTTGTCATCGAGGGGAGAGAAAAAGAGAGAGAGAGAGAGAGAGAATGTTCAGTCTCTTATCTGCAGTTCGTAGCACAGGTCACTGGGCCTACTGCAGTGTTCCTTCATTCTTATACATGCCTACAATGTCTTATACAGCCTTCCTACCTACAACCTCCCTACAACCCCAGGGCAGACTTTATCGGGGGGAGGGGGATGGTCTGTTATCGACCACTTGATTGATTATTGACGCCTGACATTTAGTGGAGGGAAGGGTGCCACACACACACACACACACACACACACACACACACACACACACACACCTCTGGCACTAATGTACGAGTCTATCTTGCCTTGTATAGTTATCGTTTATCCTGTTGTATCTTCGCCTCTTGTATTACTGGTGTAATGATATGACTTATCCCATTGGTGTTATCCTCTCCTACTCTCATGCCCTCTTACGTAATCTTATCACATGTTCTACTTTTGTGGTTATCTTCTTGTGAGATATACTTTCAAGATATCCGCGCGTGGGCGAACACACACACACACACACACACACACACACACACACACACACACACGCACACACACGCGCACACACGCGCATACACACGCGCATACACACGCGCATACACACGCGCATACACACGCGCATACACACGCGCATACACACGCGCATACACACGCACACACACGCGCATACACACGCACACACACGCATGCGCACACACGCACACAGGGTTGAGACGTAGAATGACTTGGATGAGGCGTTGGCAGACACAAATTTGATACACAAAATCAAGAGTAGACATGATAAGGCACCATGACGCCAGATCACACAGGTCCAGGAAGCTGGAAGGATAGGGAGCCAGGAGTTAAGTGTCTAACTCTGCTAGAAAAAAACATTTGAGCAGACTACAGAAGTGGTTAAAGTAGCTACTACAGTTTAATCCTGACAGGTGAAAGGTAAAACAAATTAAAGAGGGTGAAGAATAGATAAGGTATATAAATGAGGAGGGAAGACGTTAGAGCAAATATTTATGCAAGAAAATACACTGGAGCAGCGGTGCATGCGAGGATAACACGTCTTAGAAGTGCCTTCAGAAACATCAGTAATGAATTCTTCAAGACATTAGACAAGTCGAATGTCAGACCTATTTTAAAACAGCACCAGAACAGAGTCCAAACCTAAAAAAGAACGTTCAGAAGCCAGAGAAAGATAAAGAGAGATTTGTAAGCAGGCCTGGTTCTTCAACAGCGAGGGCTGGATTATGAGAGGCTCGAAGAATTAACTCCGTTCACCTTGGAAAAGAGAAGGACCAAGGGGAGAATGAAAATGAAGTTAAAGGCAATCAGAAGTGCCAATCAAGCAGACGGGGTGAAACTGATTCAAATGCGAGACTCGGTGCAAGGCGGCATAGGTAGAAGCTAAGAGCACAGATGAGTCAGAGATATATTAGGAAATATTTCTTTAGTCTCAGGATGGTAAGTGGAATAAAACAGACGCGGAGACAAAATAGGGCCCATATGACCAATTTTTTAAGTTAATAGGCAAACACATCCCAGTGAATATGTACGTACACATACACACACACAAAATGCATACATACGAAGTACTGAAAGTAGCAACTACTCTCTACCAAAAGGTCGCAACAGTTCAGAAATAAATGAACGGAAAATAAGTATTGATGTAAAGAAGATAATTTGAAGCTCTTAGTGCAGTAATGAGGCCGCGAGTGAGCCCGGGTAGTCGGGCAATTCCATTGCCATAATTGCATAGATTACGAAAGACCAAATGAAATCATAGTGCAAGAAAAGTAATTACAAAGTCTTAATGAAACGTTTAAAAAGGGAACAAATATTTTCAGAATATATTATAACAATTAAACGTACAAGAAAAAAAAGTACAACTGAACTTATTAATGTACAAAAGAGCTTAAAGAAAAAACAAAAATTAAAATGTACGGAAATATTTTCAGGAGGTTCACAGTATAAAACTGTACAGTCGTACATTAAAATATATTTAACATTAAGCAAAATAAAAAAAAAAATTCACTGACAGTAAATGTAAGAAAGCCAAATTAAACACAAAGCTTGAAGGGACTATGTATATAAAGTTACATCAGGATAAGATAAAAAAAAAAAAAGGTACAATAGCCCCTCGTTACTAAATTTTCATAAAAACATAACATGCCTGCCAATAGAAACACTCAAATTAAAACGCTGATTTATAGCAAAATATTAAAACAAATTAGAATTTAAGGATAGTTATATCAACATGCGCCAGGGTTGTGAAATAAACTGAAAATCAATGAAGGTTGCAGAACAAACGAGTATGGTACGTGTACTCACGTGTAACTTTGAGTGTGAAGAAAAAGGTCACTGGAGGATGAGTGGTGAGCTGACACTCGTAGTGGCCCGCATCTGACAGCTGAATGTCCTTCACCCAGAGCTCCCAAGCCTGGAGGGTAGAGTGAAGGGGTGAGAGAGAGAGAGAGAGAGAGAGAGAGAGAGGAGAGAGAGAGAGAGAGAGAGAAACAAAATATATATATATAAACCGACTTACACACGAACACATGAATTTATCACCCTTCCCCTATACGTCAAAAACTAGGAAAAAAATATAAACATTTAGCGCCAAAACCTGTCAGGTTAGTACTTCAGTGGTCACAGTTTAACATTACATACCAATACACACAAAAAATTGTAGAACATTTAGCCAATATACGAGAGTTGCAAATTTAAAACTGCCATTGTTTGTATTCATCTGTAACCCCTTGCCATTACACAATTTAATTATTCTCATGATAATACATAAATTGTCAGCCTGTGGTAAACTCACATACATCCGTAGTATTTTGAAAGCAAGTCTGTAAATTTCAGTTTAATGACTCGCGCAAACATGCCTATTCATCCATATATTCTTTTCCCCGCTAGGAGATTTTCCTACTCGTTAGCGAGAATAATTCTCATCAATGTGAATATTCATTGCTTTTATGTATATTATCTTTTGATTTTATTCTTGCAAACGAAGACTTTTCGAGTTCGTTAGCGGCGGGCACAACTGAAATTATTTAGCTTAAAGAGGCAACCAATCAGAGCCGTGTTACCCTGGCAGGGAGGTGGAGCCTGACCCGCCCTTCCCCTGTAACCAACCAATGACTCTCGCTCCCCTCTCTCCAACAGTCTCATTGGTTTATTTAAAATGACCTTTTCCGCGGCCTCAGTTAATCACCAGAGCTATTTTTTTTCAACCTTGCATTGTATTATCGTGGAACAATATATTTGGATATAAAAGCACAGCGGCTCTGAATGCCTCTCTGAAAAGACGGGGAAGTGAGGCCTTTCCAGGCAGCTACATTCATCAGTGGCTTATACGTCATCTTTTCTGAAATCTCTGGATTATGAGTGGAATATAGGAGAGCTGAATTCCCAAGTACAATAGAAAAAAAATGAATAATAAGAGTTAAGACTCCCAGAAATAAAGGTTCAAAGTCTCTCTGATCCCGTGTGTGTGTTGCGAGCTTGATACAGGAATAAAGAGGTTCGTTTGTGGAGTGGAAGGGGTTTCATATGTAGTGTCGTTGGAGTTTTTTTTTTTTCTCCCAGGTGAGAAGTGGCCTTATTGTAATGCGAAGTGTATTGGTAAGTGGGTAGGACTATTTTGTTGAAAAAAGAACACAAAATGCAAACACCAGCACATTTTATTGGCAACGTTTCGCTCCTAAGAACTTGGTCATTCCAAATGTGTTAAAATATCTTGTTTATATAATGTTTTCTTTTACCAGCAACCTGTCGGTATCACATACCATTTTTACCCGGACTAATCTTGCTGTGGTGTAAGGAATAAGGCAGAAATGACCTCATGGTGCAGGCTATATAATAGCAATGACCTTGTAGTGCTTATTATGTGGGAGCAATGACCTTAGGACGCAGGTGCATGGACAAGGTGACTTATGGCGCAGGGTACATGGACAAGGTGACTTACGGCGCAGGGTGCATGGACAAGGTGACTTATGGCGCAAGGTGCATGGACAAGATGACTTATGGCGCAAGGTGCATGGACAAGATGATTTATGGCGCAGGGTGCATGGACAAGATGACTTATGGCGCAGGGTACATGGACAAGGTGACTTACGGCGCAGCGTGCATGGACAAGGTGACTTATGGCGCAGGGTGCATGGACAAGGTGACTTATGGCGCAGGGTGCATGGACAAGGTGACTTACGGCGCAGGGTGCATGGACAAGGTGATTTACGGCGCAGCGTGCATGGACAAGGTGACTTATGGCGCAGGGTGCATGGACAAGGTGACTTACGGCGCAGCGTGCATGGACAAGGCGACTTATGGCGCAGGGTGCATGGACAAGGTGACTTACGGCGCAGCGTGCATGGACAAGGTGACTTATGGCGCAAGGTGCATGGACAAGATGATTTATGGCGCAGGGTGCATGGACAAGATGATTTATGGCGCAGGGTGCATGGACAAGATGATTTATGGCGCAGGGTGCATGGACAAGATGATTTATGGCGCAGGGTGCATGGACAAGATTTATGGCGCAGGGTGCATGGACAAGATGATTTATGGCGCAGGGTGCATGGACAAGATGATTTATGGCGCAGGGTGCATGGACAAGATTTATGGCGCAGGGTGCATGGACAAGATGATTTATGGCGCAGGGTGCATGGACAAGATTTATGGCGCAGGGTGCATGGACAAGATGATTTATGGCGCAGGGTGCAATACTGGAATGATCAGGGTATGGTAGGAATGTTCTTGTTAATGCATAGGGTGTATACCTGGAGAGGGTTTCAAGGGGGTCAACGCCCCCGCGGCCCGGTCTGTGACCAGGTGTATAGTAAGAATGTTCTTGCTCATACACAGGGTGAATAATAAGAATAGTTTTTGATCATGCAGTGTGTATGGTAGGATTTATCCTGCTATGGTGTAGAGCTTTTAATAGGAATATCCATTTTGCCATGACTGTAGGAATAAAATGGCTTAATTTGAAAGGTTGGGGGCACCTGACCATGATGTGTGAGACTGACCTTGCTGTGGTGGACGTGACCTTGCTGTGGTGGACGTGACCTTACTGTGGTAGGAGTGACCTTGCTGTGGTGGAACTGACCTTGCTGTGGTGGAACTGACCTTGCTGTGGGAGTGACCTTGATGTGCGAGAGTGACTTTGCTGTGGTGGGACTGACCTTGCTATGATGAGACTGACCTTGTGGTGGGAATAACCTTACTGTGGGAGTGATCTTGCTGTGGGAGTGACCTTGCTATGGTGGGACTGACCTTGCTGTTGTGGGAGTAGCCTTACTGTAGAAGTGACCTTGCTTTGGTGGGGCTGACCTTGCTGTGGTGAGAGTAACCTTACTGTGGGAGTGACTTTCCTGTGGTGGGAGTGGCCTTGCTGTGGTGGGACTGACCTTGCTATGGTGAGAGTGACCTTGCTGTGGCGGGAGTAACCTTACTGTGGGACTGACCTTACTATGATGGGAGTGAGTGGCTGAGAAGCGTGTCTCTGCTGCATACACTTGTTGTCCCACAGTCAGGAGTTGATCATCGTCTCTCTTCATCCACGTCACCTGTGCAGGAGAAAATATACGCGAAGTACATTTCAGTCAATAACACACACACACACACACCACTCCATGTTTAGCTGTACACACACACCACTCCATGTTTAGCTGTGAGGGGCTCTTGATCCAAGGGAGTGGATCGAATCTGAATGGCTCCCATTCCCCCTCCACCCTTTTCCAGGGTGCAGCATGACCCCTACAGGTTTACCCCTCCCCTCATGAATGCCACAAATCAGCAGCTGTTTCTCCTTGACACACCTGATTACCTCTCACTCCTTATGACCCCTACGGGTTTATAGCTTCCCAGTCATACATTAAATTTAAGCTAAAAGTGAAAAAACCGTCATTGTTATTAAGTGATCAGTTATTCCTCAAGACGAAGAGAAATTTCTGAACTAGAGAAGTAAAAATACCAATAAAGACAATACATAAAAAAGATAAAAATATATTCAAAACGAGGATGCATAAATTCATTCATTTCTTTCACTAAATTTTTCATGTGAATGATTCTGGTATTGAGAGTCGAGTAGCTAGAGCGAAATATTCGTTAAATCACTGGAGCTCCTGCTGTAAGCTCCCCCTCCCTCCCTCCCCTCCCCTCCCCTCCCTCCCTCCCTCCCCTCCCTACACACACTTCCCCCCACACAGGATTATATATTTTTATTAAAGAAAAAACAGGCTGTTGGTGTTATAGGAAATCCTTTCAGGAGAGATATCACACACACACACACACACACACACACACACACACACACACACATATATACACACACACACACATATACACACACACACACACACACATACACACACACACACACACATACATACACATACACACACACATACACACACATACACACACACACACACACACATACATACACACACACACACACACACACACACAGCAGGATAACAGGGAAAGCACTACAATGGATCAGGGAATACTTGTCAGGAAGACAGCAGCGAGTCATGGTACGTGGCGAGGTGTCAGAGTGGGCACCTGTGACCAGCGGGGGTCCCACAGGGGTCAGTCCTAGGACCAGTGCTGTTTCTGGTATTTGTGAACGACATGACGGAAGGAATAGACTCTGAGGTGTCCCTGTTTGCAGATGACGAAGTTGATGAGAAGAATTCACTCGATCGAAGACCAGGCAGAACTACAAAGGGATCTGGACAGGCTGCAGACCTGGTCCAGCAATTGGCTCCTGGAGTTCAATCCCACCAAGTGCAAAGTCATGAAGATTGGGGAAGGGCAAAGAAGACCGCAGACGGAGTACAGTCTAGGGGGCCAGTGACTACAAACCTCACTCAAGGAAAAAGATCTTGAGGTGTAGTATAACACCAGGCACATCTCCTGAAGCGCACATCAACCAAATAACTGCTGCAGCATATGGGCGCTGGCAAACCTCAGAACAGCATTCCGACATCTTAATAAGGAATCATTCAGGACCCTGTACACCGTGTACGTTAGGCCCATATTGGAGTATGCGGCACCAGTTTGGAACCCACACCTAGCCAAGCACGTAAAGAAACTAGAGAAAGTGCAAAGGTTTGCAACAAGACTAGTCCCAGAGCTAAGAGGTATGCCCTACGAGGAGGGGTTAAGGGAAATCAACCTGACGACACTGGAGGACAGGAGAGATAGGGGGGACATGATAACGACATACAAAATACTGAGAGGAATTGACAAGGTGGACAAAGACAGGATGTTCCAGAGATTGGACACGTAACAAGGGGACACAGTTGGAAGCTGAAGACACAGATGAATCACAGGGATGTTAGGAAGTATTTCTTCAGCCACAGAGTAGTCAGTAAGTGGAATAGTTTGGGAAGTGATGTAGTGGAGGCAGGATCCATACATAGCTTTAAGCAGAGGTATGATAAAGCTCACGGCTCAGGGGAGAGTGACCTAGTAGCGATCAGTGAAGAGGCGGGGCCAGGAGCTCGGACTCGACCCCCGCAACCTCAACTAGGTGAGTACAACTAGGTGAGTACACACACACACACACACACACACACACACACACACACACACATTAATGCTTGTAGAGTAAATTTGGTTTCTGTTATAAAAACAATCCATAAAGAATAAAAAGGCACAAGAACGTGACTGGAAGTTATGAAATTTATTTGGAAGCACTAAACCCGCATGGGCCCCCAGCGCCAGGGAAATGGGAGGTAATCAGACTTACTCAGAAAGGGCAGCTCCAGTTCCTTAAATCAAGAGCCCTTCACCAGCCTCAAGGTACCCTCCTCGAAGGGTGGCACTTTTGTAAACATGACTTATTTAGCCACATGTGGATAAATTGCCTCAACAAAATCCCTTAATTCCATAAACTTATTCAGCTTAAGTTTTAAATGGAATTTAAATAGATTATAGACTTTTTTCCACGTTAAATTTATTCTTTCGAGAGTAGTATCCAGTTTTAAACTCTCTCAATTTGCGGCGCTTGATACAGAACCAGGATAGCATTCGCAATGTTTATGTGTAAATGATTTATTCAATAGAGTATTAATTGTTTATTCAGTAAAGTGATATTCACTAGGGATGAATAATTTAAACTGTTCAACCAAAACACAAAAACACAAATATTTGCTCACGATATCAACATAAACATAAGGGTCAAGTGTTAGTATTAATACCCGGGTATTGTGAGCACTGTTAGCCGGACTTGAATCCTGGAGGTGGGAAGTACAGTGCCTGCGCTTTGAAGGAAGAGTGGGGATGTGTTGCAGTTTTTAACTGTAGTGTAGGTGCGCCTCTGGCAAAACAGTGATGGAGTGAATAATGGTGAGAGTGTTTCTTCTTTTTCGGTCACTCTGCCTCAGTGGGAAACGGCCGATGTGTTAATAAAAAAAAAACAATAAAAATAAATTGTGAACACTTGTGCACTGTCGGCTCGGCTTTATATTTCTGCTAACCAGAACTTCTGTTTTTTATTTTTTCATTCGCTCTAAGATCTTCATTATTTACCTTATAAGTGACATTATTTTCTGCTCCCAGGATTTGAACCTTACAATGGTTCGCACTGAATAGCATCTGCCACTTCTCCGACCACAACATCACCCAATCCAGGTCCCTCCGCTAGCTTGCTAGTGTCTTCTGATACGGAGACTAGAAAGCTATTTTACTGTTATCGGCAAACCTTACAAGTGTCCACAATGATCTTCCTTCTAGTACTATTTATTCCCTCGTGTATGACCTGTATATAGCCATCCCTGGGGCTCCGTTCTGTTTATTACTCGAGAAGGCTTCATCCATCAGGCTACAAAAAGTTCAAAGCTTGTACACGGTCACTAGAACCAGATTCTAGGATCAACTGGTGTGAGCAAGCGACTTATGACCAAAGTTATTGAAACCGCCCACGGCATCCTAGAATCACAGGGATATCTTCCAAAACCCTCATCTGCGTAGGTTCGAACGTTTAAATAAAATGCCTCGTAAGCTGACGAAGGCGGAGACTGAAATTCAAATCTAAGTGCAGATTTGACCATTTTGTGTGTAAAACAGTGAGAAATTTTTGTTCCCTTTAACTCACGTTAAATAATTTCAGTTAACTTCCAAATGGTTCCAATATTTATTATCTGATGCATCGCACGGCCAGAATACTACCAGCTAAGTTTTGTCTTCGGGCAAATTTATAGTAAATTGGTTAAAAAAAAAAAACAGAATCGTTGAAATCCACTCCATAACTGGAGAATACTTATTTTCAACACTGATATGGTTCCCCGAACGCAACGTTCTTGCTGCTATTAGGTGACAAATCCCAATTTGCCCATTAAATAGCGATAATCGTTTATATTCTATAATTAAATAATGTTTCTTCTGATCAGATTCAAAATATTAAATGATGATGTATGCTATAAGACGGATGATACCCCATAAGTTTAGACTGAGTAGGCCCAAGTTAGAAATTTTACTGAAACTGTTAAAAAGTTGTGGAATCGTTAGAATCGTATCAGTTACTGGAAGAGTTTTACTAAGCGCGTCAAATTTTATTAATCAAACTAGAATGTCTCCCATTATCACAAATATATCGTATTGTTTGAACTGAGTTGTTACCTGGAGAAAGAGTTTACCTGGAGAGAGTTCCGGGGGTCAACGCCCCCGCGGCCCGGTCTGTGACCAGGCCTCCTGGTGGATCAGAGCCTGATCAACCAGGCTGTTACTGCTGGCTGCACGCAAACCAACGTACGAGCCACAGCCCGGCTGGTCAGGAACCTGATTAAAGCTACATTATATATATATATATATATATATATATATATATATATATATATATATATATATAATAATTATATATATATATATATATTTTAGTGCCGAATAGGTAAAATTGGTCAATTAGCAAGAACTTGTTTAAAATTAAGTCTTTTCTAAAAATTTTCTCTTGTACTTTTAAAGATATATTTTTTCATTTATGTTAATTTGAAAAATTAATAATTTTGTACCAAAAAAAATTAGAAAACTTACTTAACCTTATTATAAAAAACGCAATTTAATTTAGCCTAATCCCACTAAACATATTTCAGATTAGTTTACAATAATTTAATAATACACAAACACAAAGAAATATATTTTCTCGTTAGTTTCAGAATGATTTTTGCGAAATTATTGCATACACAAATATTCGCTTACCTTATTCGGCAAGAAGAGCGTTGCTATTTAAGCCAAAATCGCAAGTTTTACCTATTCGGCACATTATATATATAATGTACATATGTGCACTGATATACACGTCCTCAATGCCACTGTAAAAAAAGGAACTGAAGCAGAGGTCCACTTTAGATCAAGACCCTCTCACTGGCATCAAGGAACCTCTCGAGGGGTCTACCTTATGCACCCTGAGTTTTAATGGAGACTTACGTAATTGCTTAATTGCATACATATTTAAACCTTAAATGCGGGTAAATCTTAAGAAAAGTTTGGATTGATTTTGGCCTTTTTTTCACAGTTTGACTTTTTTTTTAATCAAAGAAAACGGAAAAAAATGACGCTG